TTTATTGTCTTGGACGTTACCCGATTATAGTTATTTAGAGAAATAATTAATTAATATAATTTATATAGTTAGAATGGGTAAATTGTTTATATTGCGTGGCCAAAAAAATTGTTTATATTCGATATGTTGGTAGATTTAAATAAGGAAAAAGTTATCTTTGAAAATATCATCAGGTTACAACAAATCAACTGCCTAATAAATTATCTTCACAATTGACATGGATTCATTTTATTTTATTTTAAATTATTTTGATAATTTTTAATTTCACTTTTTTTACCACAATTTTCGAACCATAGGTTCAAAGTTCAAACTATGAAATTGGCAGCTGCGCATGTAAACAACATGATAAATAGTGAAATAATTATAGAAAAGATTATTTATTTTATTCGTTCTCCTTTTATTTTATAAATAATATAACTAAAAGTCACACTCAATAAAATTGGGGAATTTCTTATACCATGCATGCATTTGGAAAATATAACATTACCACTATATCAAACATTCAAACGTAATTTAACGGTGATATTTGATTATATATATATATATAGATATTATATATATCTTATCATTCTCATTTATTTAAAGTGATACCAATCTGCAGTTTGGTGTTTATCATAAATTTCATGTGTGTCATTTTGTGTATATTCAGATCTCAATTTAAATTTTAAAAAAATTCAAAAAAATATATCTGAAATTCTATTATGACCCAAAAGTGGATTATCTTTGTTTTATTCATTAGTACAAACAGGTAAATTTACACCCATTAAAATAGCATATCTACAGCAGTTTTTCAACTAGTGTAGATATGATGAGGTTATTTACACCAATTATTTAAAACCGGTGTAATTATTGTACTGCACCAGTTCTAAATCTAGTGTAAATATCCTAAATTATGTGTCTAATTTTTTAAAAAATTAAGATATCTGCACCAATTTTGGAATATGATAAGAATAATACAAACATAAAAGATTTTTAAAAATTCAAAAAAATCACTCTATTATTGGCATTTGAAAGCGACACAATGGACACAGATGATTTATTTCTACCATTTCACGATACAAACATTGTGAAAGAATGTGCTCACATGGCATCGCAGAAAGATCATCATCATCATCAAAATTTTCGAAACAAATGGTGCATTCTTCTACATCTATTTCATCATCGAACGCTTTCAATTTTTTGAGCGATGCTATAGCTTCTTTCGATGCTGGAACCATAAATAATTGTTGCATGGATTGCTCAATAGCAAAATCAATATCTTCATCTTCATCATTCGTATCTTGAACATCTTCACCATGATCAGTATAGGCAAGTGCGACATTCATGATAAGTGGTATCAAACGACGATCAGTTTGTTGTCGTCGTCGTTTCAGAAGAAGCTTGTTCTTCGAGGGCTCTTCGAGCGTGAGACGTGATGCGAGAACGTCAATGATTGAAAATTTTCTCTTGGAAGAACGTTGAACGCAGTTGTATTCAGAAATCTCGGAACATCTCGGAGTAACTCTTGGCAAGATATAATAAGAGGAGATTCAAATAATTGAAAGCTTGATATTTCTCTACGTCGTCCTGTAATGGGTGAAATCGTCACCAACATAACATTACATGTAATCTCAAAACTATCTTCAGTCAATTTTCTAGTACTGAAAGATTGGGAGATGCCATAACTTCACTCTCAGCTTTGAATAATAAGAAGTAATTTCTAGTGATCACGCAAATATATATATATATATATATATAAGTTTTTCCCTTAAGAGATATATTTATAAGAATTTATAAACGGATATCAAGAAATAGATTAAGATAAAGATAAAGATATATATATATATATATAAATATAATTATGTAGTACTTTCACCGCGTTTGCATTCGGTGCTCATCACGTTTGATGAGCACCGAGCGCTCATCACAAGTGGTCAAATCGTGGCCTTTGATTTATCCTGAAATGCTTTGTAGTAATTCATTGAAATTAATTTTTAAATATTATAAATATTATATTATTAATATAAAAATTATAAAAATTTGATGTAAATCTAGACTCTCCTAGAGTATAATTTATATGATATGCAAAAATAATAAAAAATTTTAATATTAAATTGAGTCATTTAGATTGTACTGAACTTAACAGAGTAGATCTGTAATTAAATTATAAAAATTTTAATATTAAATTGATCCTGTCAGATTAAATCTTACTACCAGATTGGGTAATAACAAATTGATTAATTTTTTTATATTTTAAAATGTTTTATTTTGATAAATGTAAATTAAAAATAAAAAATTTAAATTTGATAGGGTAGATCTCATCAAATATTATGAGTATGATGGTTCTCATTCTTAAATGAGTATAGAAAACTGTCCCAGATATAATATCAGGATTTTATAATTTTTATATTCATAAATATAATATTTAAAATATTTAAAAATTATTTAAAATAAACGGTTGAGATCATTTTAGAATAAAATGAAAGGCTTTAATTCAGCCATGTAATGCTGAGCACTCGGCGCTCATCACAGTGACGAGCACCGAATGCAAAACACTACATTCACCTTGAACTTTTAAAGAAAATATATATGATATATATATATATTAAATAAAAAAAATCTTTTAAAATTATCTTGACTAAAAAAGAAATAATTAACTCTATTTTTTGTGTCAAATGAATTATTATTTTTCATTCTTTTCATAAACTTTTAGTTAAGTCTAGATTGACGCAGCATGTTTAAACAAATTAAATATAGTATCAACTTAGTGAATTAATATTATTAAAAAAGAAGAAGTTTGTTACTGTATTTCTTAGTTTCTTCTTCGTATTTTACTTAATCTGATATATTATCTACGTTCTTGAATTAATTTTTTTGAGGAGCTATTGCTAATCCACAAAGACATTATAAATTATAAGCAGTAAATGAAAATTAAATAAAATATAACATAAAAATCCAATTTAAAACATAAAATATCCCTGCATAGAATCGAATGATGACGATG